GAGTGCTTCATGTCTTTAAGACGTGAAATCTGAAGAATCATACAAAAATAAATGGATGTTACTATCTTTTATGAAAACCAATTCATGATTTTTTATTTCATTCATAAAACAAAGACATAAATGTAAATAGAGTCCTGGTAATTCTTACAGAGGATAAATAACAGAAACAAAGGTCATATTTTTTCAAGGGAGATGAGAAAAAAAAAAGAAACGAAAAAGTGATGCATCTTTGAAGTATGTCTGGCAATATGTTTGGGATTTCGGCTATTTGTTTTCTAACTTGAGCGGTGTAATGAGTGCTTAGATTATCCTTGCTACGATACGTATAATTTAACTTCCGTAAAAATGAAGAAGTCATACAAAGAAAGATATCTTAATTGACGAAATAATTTTATCATCTGTCGTTACTTAAGTGAGTTGAGTTGATTTTCATGCTATCACCACCACAAGACACCAATATATTAATGATTCTAACGATGAAATCTTTAGGCGTGTAAAATTGATATTTTATTGTAACAATCATTATAATTATCATCAATTAGTTTTATGAATCACGAATATGATTTGCATGTTAAAGTCTCAATACAGCATATGAAGTTATATCGACCAAAAAAAATTTCAGAAACTAAATTCGAACGAACGATACAAAACGGTAATTTGCAAATAATGCTGATTGTTTAAAAAATGCTTAACAATGAAAAAACTAAATCAACATAAAATTTTGAAAAAAACTGAATAGATACACAGATGTATGGGAACAGTGATTATATTCTGTACATAATTATTGTCTTGTTATTAATTTTATGGATTTACAAGAATATGAATACAGACTGGAAAATCTCACTCTTCTTTTGCTTTTATAACTTCTGTGGTTTATCTCTCTAGACAAGACAAGACAATGCTTTATTTAAGTCTCGCCTCTTAATTGTCCACCGCGTAACACGTTGCGGGAGACATGGAAATACCGGGCGTCCGTCCGTCCGTCCGTCCGTCTTGTCTGTCCGTCCGTCCAGTCTTGTTAGCGCTCTCAAGTGTACAATTCTTGCCAGATTTTTATGAAACTTATATTATAGGTTTATATTAGCAATGTCTTGGACGAGTTTATAAATCAGTGCCGATCAATAATTTTTAAAGAGTTATGTCCCTTGGGAAACATTAATTTTATGGAAAATTGCATCGATCATATGTTAATATCAGCAATTTCTTGGACGAGTTCAAAAATCAGTGCCGATCAATTATTTTTAAAAGAGATATGCCCCTTGGAAAAATAGATTATTTGGAGAATTGCATTGTTAGCGCTCTCATATTTACAATTCTTGACAGAATTTTATGAAACTTAAATCATAGGTTTATATTAGTAATGTCTTGGACAAATTTGAAAATCAGTGCCGATCAATAATTTTTAAAAGAGTTATGTCCTTTGAAATATTGATTATATGGAAAATTGGCTTATGAGCGCTCTAATGTGTACAGTTCTTTCCAGATTTTTATGAAATTTATATTAAAGGTTTATATCATCAATGTACTTGAAGAGTTTAAAAATCAGTGCCAATCAATTATGTTTAAAAGAGTTATGCTCTTTGAAAATATTGCTTACTAGTATATGGAAAATTGCAATGTTATCGCTCTCGTGTGTTCAATTCTTTCCAGAATTTTATGAAACTTATATCATAGGTTTATATCAGCAATGTCTTTGACACGTTCGAAAATAAGTTCAGATCAAATATTTTTAACGAGTTATGCCCCTTGGAAATATGAATTATAATGGAATCGCATTGCATTTGCTCTGAAGTCTTCATTTCTCTTAAGATATTAATAAAAAGTTTCAAAGAACAAAAAAGTGCTTTTTTTAGTTATTGCCCTTGTACCTTGGATAGATAAATTATGTGCAACGCGGGGGACATTGGAACTCTGTTCTTTTATTTGATTAGACATACAAATAGTTAATGAAAAATAGTCATAAAACATACAAGAGCAACTTTAAAAAACTATCTGACTTAATGCTACTTGCAAGGATTATACCTTAGCATTGAATTATATATAGAATTGAATCTTTGTATTTCGGGGATAAATGTTAATTCGCTGATAAACAATCTGAAAAACACTCTGAAACAAAGCTAAATTGTTTTCATTAAATTTTTTATCCTGATATAATCGGGTATTGAGAATAAATGAGGTAGGGCCAATTTTTCTAAATTTGTTTCACACAAGTGCCATTTTTATAAAAAGTCTTTCGATCTTGACTTATCAACAGTATCAAAATGTATGTAAGGTTTTAACAGTATCGTAGGTTACTTATAAACTGATCAAAACCTGCAATTATGAGTATTTAACTCCAAAATATATAAAACTTCGTTAACCAAAACCAAAATTATGTTCGGAGTAAAGACATGTATTGTCATCGGATACCACTGCATTAATTTTTTGGTTAGCGTCATCCGTCGATTTAACTTGACAAAAATATGTAAAATCTGTAATTTTGTATCAAATTGCATTCATTAGCACCATGAAGCGCTAAATAGCATATAAAATAAGAATATGTGGTATGATTGCCAATGAGACAACTCTCCATCAGAGACAAAAGGACGTAAAAGTTAACAACTAAAGGTCATCGTAGCATGTTTATTTTATGGAAACATTTTCAAAATTGTTGGTTTTATTTTTTTTATAGTACTAAATAGATGATAATGTTCAATTTCCAGTGGGATTTGAATACCTTTGACCCTGCGAATGAGAATGAAACAAATACAGGGAAAATTGGTCCTTCGTCTTTACTATCAAACTTATCCTCTTGCTTAGATATAAGAAATTGTTCTCAGGTTTTAGTTCTTCCTTGTTTGCAGGAAAAACCATAACATATGCAAGAATGTTTTATAATTATTGGCCTTTTCGTTGCATTGCAATCTTGGTTCAATAGTTATTATACGAGATATGATATCAGTCAGCATTTGTACAACAACATAACCCTTTAATATTTATCACTATAACTTGGAAAGATGGAAAGATCATCTTCGTGTTTAACTGCTGTCAACCTCAGATTTTCAAGTAATATATCACTATAGATAGTGCAATGCCTGTCAATTACTGCACGTTTTAGCTAGCTATAAAACTAGGTTGTACCCGTCAATTTCTTCGGAAATGCTTGTACCAAGTCAGGAATATGACAGTTGTTTTCCATATTTTCAGTTGGTTGATATAGTCGAGCATTTGATTTCGTCAGGTTTTATGGACTTCCTCCTTTTGAATTTACCTTAAAGTGCGTTATGTTTGTTAATACTCTTTTACTTTTGGTTGATATTTAGTGGCTATGCAATAATTATCTACCTGATAAAACGAACATTACATCCACAGAGTTATTGTTGATTTTTATGTATACAAAGTGTAAGAAAGTAGATAAAAAGGGTATACATTTTCTAACTACCTCACACAGATCAGTATTAAAACCATGTGTCACCATTCAATAAATGATGTAAATGTCTGTTTTAAACACGAAAAACATAAGTGCATAAGACTTTGCATCTCAAATGTAACAAGGCAATTATTTATTGATTCCTATGCGCATTTAAACCTCGTTTCTGTAATGAATGATATTTCAATTAAATTAGATTGAACTAGGAAAAGCAATATCGTGTTGGGAGATTTATTTTAAAATAAGACAAAATAATTAGAACTGTATGGTTTGATTCCAAGATGGTATAGAAAGAATTAAAATATGCTTTCTATACAAATACCTCTTTTAGATATTAAAAATATTTAGAATTTAGAGCTGATTTATTAACATAGTCTGAAACAAAAAAAATACAAAACATTTTATTTTCTTAACTGCATCGACTTTCTGGGCACATTTACTCAGTTGCCGATATAAGAATGTTGGATAGCTATACCAGCAGATTAAGTACATTACGCTTGCTTTCGCTAACTTTGAGTATGATTTTCGGTTTTATGTCGTCTGTAATATCGTCGAGTTTTTTTCTGATTATTATTACATACTGTTTACTAGGTACCTTTGGTTATTCCACTGATATGATCAAAGAGTTGAGTATTAAAAAACGTAAACCCCCCATCACATGTTCATGTATGAAGGTTCAAAGGAAAACTGGGGTAATCATCGATCCAAAAGACATCTAGAGGTCTCCAACAATAGTTACAAAAGTATTCAGATATAAAAAACAAAAGACATCCACTTAAAAGATTCCTGATTTGTGACAGACACGTGAATGTGGTTGCATTTTTCTATCCTAGTGTTGTTTTCTAAATATAATTTGGTGTTGAAGTTAGTTGTTGTAGTCTTATTTAGAACACGAATATACACTCGGGACGATAAAGAACCTGTGACGAGTAAGAATATTGTAAGTCATGAACATTTCAGCATAACTTAAAATCAATTTTATTTTTAAGATATTTTGTGAAAATAGTCTCTGACACTAAGTCTTGTTGAAATCGTATGACCGGACTTTTGACTTTACATTCTCCATGTTACAGTTATATAAATAGTACAGATAACCGTTTCTGTGTCCGGACAACGCACAAACACATCGCAATGTGTGCGTGTATTATTTCCTATTTTGGCATATTCGTGATTAAATTTAAAAGATGACTTGTTTTTATATTTTATAATTTAGTCTGGAGTTTGCAAAGTAGTAAAGACTCTAAATGTCTCTTTTTGGGGGTTTATATATAATGTTGCTGAATTACTGTATCATAAACGTATACCTCTCATCTCTTTTTATTCAAATCGAAACTACATGTATATGTTAGATCCGAAAGCTTTAGTCTTTTGAAAATCGACCCATATGCAATGAAATAAATGAAAAATTGTTCTGTCTGTTGTTTGACATTTATGAGTAAAGGCCAGTTTAACACGATGGTGAGTCTTGTAAAAACTGGTACAGCATTGCAATGTTTATGCAAATAAAGGGTGATGACGAAAACTTTGCATTGCGCACTATCCCAGCAAACAAACAGTACACATGTAAGAACTCGTTCTGTATTTATTTCAGGTTGTAGTAGTGGCTGTATACGGTGTTCAGAAGTGAACGGATGTTATAAATGTAGACCACGTTTGTTTTTGTACCTTGCCCGTACAGGAATGAGGCAGACTGGACATTGCATACATAGTTGTCCTAAGGGGTATTTTGGAGTTCGACACGAAGACTATAGTATTTGTAATAGTAAGTAAATTAGTTATTTGTGGAGAAATATCATAGCTCACATGCCATATCTTTGTTTTAGTGGTCCTTGGTCTGTCGTTAACGTTTTTTAAGTGTCATCCTCGCACTGAAGCAATGTACACGGAACAATCTGATGGTTTCAAAGAATGGTCCAATGTTTCTTCCGTCAAGCCCACACATTTAAGAAAGAAAAAAAAACACCTAACAATACTGAAAAAATTCTGTTGTGTGAAACCCTTTACAAAATAAAGGAGGTATAATAAGAACCATCATTTGGCCCCCGAAATTAAAAAAAAATTAGTAAAATTACTCAAGCCTATCAAAACTATGTTAGTTTGATTGATAATTGAACAAATTAATATAATCTAGACACTTAAGTGCAGAAACGTCAATTGTGATGCCATAAACGTGTTGAAGCTAACATATGTGATCTAAAATGACTATTTTACACATAGGTTTTGACAAAATAGATGTTTTTAGTGTTTATGATAGTTGTTTCTTTTGCTTTGTATCGATCTAATGAGTCAAACCCTTTTCAACTGATATTTATAGTTTGTTCGTATGTTGTGCTGTTACACCAAGGTCCCATGTTAGGGGAATGGTTGGGCGCCCCTTACATGTTTTACCCCGCCACATGGTGTTTATGCCTGTCATGAGTCTGTAATTTAGTGGTTGTCGTTTATTACTGTATTTGTGTTTGTTTGCTGTTTTGTACATAAATCAGGCCGTTGGCTTTCTTGTTTGAATTGTTTTCCATTTTGTTATGTCGGGGCCTTCTAAAACTTGTTATGCGGTATGGTTTTTGATCATTGTTGAAGACCGTATGGCGACATTTAGTTGCTATCAACTGCGTCATTTGCGTCCATCCAATTTGGTAGATATTTGTCTCATTGGCAATCATACCACATCTCCTTATTAGGTCTTTCCACTTTTTCGTGGAAAGACCTATCGCTTTTGATCTGATTATTATTTTTTTTTTTTTTATATTTTTTTTTTATTCTTCCGCCACTTTTATTTCTTGCGTGTAATTTTTGTTTCATAAGATGTCGCTTAGAGGTTTGGTATATGATATCGAACAGTTTATGCGCCTTTGAAAATGACCCTGCTTAACCGAATACTTTTCTGTGTAAGAGTTATCTCCGAAAACACTGTTTTCTTGTGGGTTCTTCTCCTCCGTAACCGAAAAAGAGACAAATTTATTTTAACAAATAGCTTGTTATTTATCAGGATGTTTTGTCTAATTTTGACCGAAGCGATACGGAGACTCCATATGAGAGTTATTTCCCCTTCTGTATTTTACATAAGTGATATATTAATGCATTGCATGAATGGTAAGTGATCGATCCTTGGTTCAGAAAAATGAATTTTAGGTCAAGGTCAAAGGTCAAAGTCATGTTCTCAATTTTGACTTTTGCTTGTTTTATGATTTTCTTTAACACTTTTTGAGATACATATAAAAGAACAAGTGCAAAATGTTCGTTTTCATTGTGATAAAGGTATGATACATTTTGTCTAAAACAATCCAATGACATCATATAGCAGTTATTGCCAAGGTTAATTGATTATTACTTCAACATGGTACATGATAAAGCCATAGGGTCTTTTGCAAAATGTTGGGTGACATATGACCTATCATTTGAGACCGGAAGTGACCTTCGATAAACAGGAAGTAGCTTATAACCTCCCTTTTTACAGGCGAAATTATATAAAAACCATTTATAGTTGGAATCAGTGTAAAAACAGCTATCCTAAGATACCGGAAGTGACATTTACTTAACCGGAAGTAGCTAATTATCTCCCTTATTTCACACAAAAGTACATAGAAACCATTTATTTTTCGAATCAGTATGAAGAAACCAATGATTGGAGGCCAATAATTACTTAAAGAAAACCGGAATTAACTTCTTATCAATTATTTAGAAAATTGATGTGGAAAGACCTTCAATTGTTCTCTGAACAATTGTTTTTTTAATTTTAACTTGTAATGGTATTTTTATGGTTAAAGCTGTTCATCATATCTAAATGTCAATGACAAGATCTCAAAATGATGCAATTTTGGCAGTGTATATAGGAAGTTTTGTATGTTTTTCAAGAAGTTTAAAGCCCTAACAGTAATATGCAAGACAAAATTCTCACAGACTTATGTGTTATGAACATTTGAAGAATTCCGTTTGGTATATTTATGATAGTCTTTAATTTTCGAATAATAAAAAAAAGTGGCCTTATCGTACCTTCTCCTTTACGACAGAAGATACGATTATCCGTTCCCTGTTATTAATTTTCCTTTTTTGAAGGGTGATGTTCCTTTGGTCGCTCCTTATTGTGTGAATACTTCAAAATCGTTTGGTATGCCCGTGTCTTCAATAACGCTTCAGATTTCAATTACCTTAATTTTTGTATAATTGGTCAATTATTAAGTCAGGGATTTCGTTACCACAAATTACTTAAAATTTTTACTAAATCTTTTTTTTTAGATACAAACAGTTGGCTGTACCTGTAGAACTGTTATTAAAACGAGATATCACAGTCTAATATTTACAATGATTTTGTTTATAAAGCCTGTTAACTTAAATACGATTCATGTTAACTCATTGATCCTTATTCTTAAAGTTAATCAACACCGCAGTAAGATTTTTTTATCGGTTCTAAAATTGATTTTGTTTTCGATCAATCAAAATATAACAAGAATATATTTTGCTATGCAGTTCAGTAAACTTATTGTCCTAGATCCTGTAGAAACTATTTACTACATTTTGGCATTGCACAAGTTCATGCGTTTCTCAAACTGTTCATGACGTCTTTACACTAAATCTTTTGGATGTATACTAATTGATACTTTAGTCTGGGAGAACATGACTTATCTATTAGCTGTAATCCCGCCATATTTTTTATGTACCTGCTCCCAAGGCTGTTATTGAATGGTTGCTGTTGGTTGTTGTCTTTAATTTCTGTTTTCCTTAATTGTTTTGTCAGAAATGAGGCCGTTAGTTTTCTCGTTTGAATTCTTTCACTCATGTCTGGGCCTTTTATAGCTATCTATGGGTTTTGTCCTTTGTTGAAAGCCGAACGGTGACATTAGGTTGTTTACATGTACGTCATTTGGACTCAGGTGGATAGTTAGTTGTCTCATTGGCAATCGTGTCACATCTCCATAGTGTTATCTGTCAATTTCATTTTCTCCTAGATTTAGAATCCATGGTTGCTTGTACTAGCCGCCAGTATGCATAGTGCCACCGTAACTATAAAGCGACATTTAGACGGAATAAAACAAACAAAAACAAAGTTTTAAATATTGCCAAACTACCAAATTTCTTGTGAAGAGTCATTGAATGGAAAAAAATTATGATACTGATTGGAGCCAACCGAAAACATTCTATATACCGTATAAAATTATTTTTACCCCATTTGGAAGCATATATACCTGATATCGTCAAAGCTACTACTATTCTGAAACAAAAAACGGGTACTGATTTTTTATAAGAAATTCAAAGGATTAAAGCATGAAGTTTGAATAAAAACAAGAAGGTCTCGCGAGCCTAATTTGTTTATCTGGAGAAACACATTTTGATATTTGTTTTCATCTTTATTGTAACCGATTATTCTTGATTATTTGATCAGTTTTTGCTGTTTTCTCTTATAGTTTCTAGAATAATGCAAAAATGTGTTATAACTGTAATTTAAGAGTAAAAACTCTTACAAGTATAAAAAAAGAAAAAAAAAAAGATTTGTGGTAAAAATCGTCAAGTAAGCTCAATTACTCCTTTAAGGAGTCGATTGGTAATTTCCTTTATATAATTTATCTAAAAATGTGACATGATTGCCAATGAAACAACTATCCACCAGTGACTAAGGGAAATTGGTGTACACAACTAGAGGGTACCGTAAGGCCTTTATCAATAGCAAAACCAATACCGTATAGTAAGATATAAAAGGCACCGACATCGTAAAATGTGAAACAATTCAAAACAGAAAAAGCCAACGGCATGGTTTGTTTTTATAATAGTAAACAAAAAAAAAAAAAAAAAATAATATGGCAGACAACGACCAATGACAACCACTGATTACAGGCTCATGTGTTGGGACATGTAAGAATATAATCTGGCGAGGTTACAAATGTTTGTGAGTGGTGAACCCTCCCCTAACCTGGGATAGTAGCTTAACGGCACAACATAAACACAAAACTTTAAAGAATAGTTGAAAAGGTCTTATCTCATCATATTTGTATATCAGATCTTGCTGAACCATTTTGCTGTTTTACAGTTTCCCTCACTCTGTTATAGTTTCAAGGAAATAAAAAAAAAAGCCCCCAAAAAGACAAAAAAATATTATTCAAGGGCAATTACTTCAATTTAGATTTAGATTTGCTGATCATTTTACTGTGTTCAATTTTTTTTATATATCTTTTATAATTTTCACGACAACTGTTTTGTTTGTTATAATATTTACCAAACCGAAACAATTAACAGCCTATTGTCTTCAGGAAATGAAGAAATAAAAAGAACAATACAATCTAGTTCTTTCTTTCAGTACTACAGGCTGGTTCATGACACTATCTGCCATTATACATGAGTATACCTTTAACAAATAAAAATATACCCCAAAAGTCCCATGACGGTTGTTAAGGTTCAAATTCTTCTACATTTCATGGATATCATACATTGTTAGCTATACAATGTTGGTGAAATCTCAGATGTTGTACAAAGCTTTATAACCAAATAATTACTTTCTTAAAATATCTCAAATTTCTTGATTTCACACAGGCTGCTTACGAGTTATTTGTTTAAAATTAAACTTTGAGGATATAAAAATGTTTACATTGATACAAAGAAATAATCAAAGACAATTAAATAAGATTTCACGAATATGAATAAAAGGAAACGTGAGTTAGAAATCAATTAGACAGTAACCTAACGACACAAGCAACCACAAACATAGTGAGGGCAGTATTCAGTCTCCAACAATAGACAGGACAAGTGTCAATAACATGTGTTAAAATCTGCTAAAACTACTATTATTTTTATTTCGAAATAAAATTTTTGAAATACAAATGTAGTTTAAATATTTTCACACAAAAACACTTAAAAAAGCAATTTATGACTTCTTCATAACATAACGCTCAACTATTGGTATTATACAAACTGCATTACAATTAAGCCATTGTGTGTCTGTTTTATGAATTGCTTTAAACATCACTTTTGGATTACTCACTTTAACAAAACGGTTACTAAGATAAGTTAAAAAAAAAGAATGAAAAATTGTTGAAATTCTGTAAATAGCCAAATGTTTCCAGCTTTAAAGAGACTGTAAAGTGTTTATCGTGGTGGGGAACAACCATTTTAACAACAGTTATGGATATTGTGTTTATCGGGTTTATGAGCGATCATTATTGACAACTGTCATAGATATAAAGTGAGCGGTCGAGACTCTAAAGAATGTTGTTTTGTTGCTATGCCATTGACGTTAAACCAAAATTAATATCTGTATATATTTTGCCTGAAATTCTAGAAGAAAAGATGAAGGTTAATTTGAAACGTATTCATGTATTTTTATGATAATATAACACTGAGATCAGGTTATTCGGAAATGCCCAAGGACGATCGTGCTGTCTAATTTTCCATAGAGATGATAATGATTGCATAACTACGTGACAGTGTGACACTGCACTATAGTGAACCCATGATAATTTTAAGCGACTCATTAGTTAACATATAAAAGTACTATTCATAAAATGGGAACTGAATTGACTATGTTTCATTACTCATGGGAAGCTAGTATTGTACACGTTTTGTAAACATAAAACGCGCATCTTTTATATATGGTTATATCATAGAATCGAAATAGTTTCTTCTATCCACAATTCCTCAATATATAAATAACAAATTTGAATATTGAAAGAATTTTATTCTGTCCCAATTTTGAAGTGTCATTACAAAAATTTTCATCTTAAAATGGATCATTGACACTTACCAAGTTAAGGTCTCAATCGACAGAAGACTCGATGGGCTTTCTTTCATGATACGTATGACCATTTTATTGGAATTAAAGTTTGAATTGTTGTAATTAAAACTATCTATGTAAAAGTCCCAGAGAAATGTATTTGACATAAACTCAGAAACCCACGTCTCGGAATTTGATGTGATTATTATCAGGAAATAATGAATAAAACCAATAAAGTGCTCTAAAATAAGCCTAATGATAGAAATAACATGTAATTTTTTGTTGCTAAAAAAAATATTATTTCATTTTACTTCCAAATACGACCATTTAGAAATAGTAGTCATATGACCATTTAGATAGTAGTCATATTCTTGGCACGTTTGCAAATATGTCCAGGTTATACAATTCTAACCAGCAGAAAATAACAAACCACCAGACAAAACGAAAACAACAACAATGCCTTGACAAACAAGGAAGAACATAAACGTACAACAAACCCTTAACATAAGAATATGTGTTACCAAATTCTACGAAAAAGTCATATATACTGAGTAGAAAGACTGATGATGAATAAATTTTCGTAAGGATTTGTTATTAAAATAACTTGAAGCGCCTAGGGAAAGGTACATCAGATCAATTTTGACACATTCACCTGAAAAAGACACCCGTCTTCTTATATCAACATCTTATATCTTTATTGCCTGTACTTCATCCTCCTCATCACTAATTTTCTTATGTCTGCCACGGCCCCTTTTGACTGCAGTGTAAAGATACGTGTAGAATTAAATCATTAACAATGTTGGTGGAATATATATACACCTGTCAATAAGTAATCCGGCTTATGGTGGCCGGGTGCGACCATTACGCGTTTTTTCGCTCCATTAAACATCAAAGGAAACCAGCTTTTTCAGCTTATCTTAATCCGTCTCCTATATTTTAGGGATAAACTCGTTAAGAATCCTAAGCACACGCATTGCATGACTTTAATAGAAATATTTATAAAATAATGTTTTATATCAAACAACAAAAACATGCTTGCTTTGCGGGTTTTGTCCATTGTTGAAGGCCGTGTGGTGACCTATAGATGATTACTTCTATGTCATTTAGTCTCTGGTGGATAGTTGTTTCATTGGCCTAGCGCCATCATACCACACCTCCTTGTTTTATAAACAAGTTTATAAATAAATGAAGAAAAGTTCGTTAAAACAGTGGTTTATCGACTTAGATTAACAGAAAAGAAAGGATATGGTGTATCCATCCATGACACAAAATCAGTATATGCACAGCAGAAAATACAAAAAGCAAAGGAACAGCGCTTTTATTTCTGTTCTTCATCTCAAAGTCACGGTGAGGCGTTCAACAATGCGTGTACGATCCTTTTATTTGTAAACTTTCAAATTGATATTTTCTCTATCGGTATAGATTTTAATTTATATCTTTGAACATAACAGCAAATGAAATGAAAATCAATCTTTAAAACTTTGGCTCAAATATTTTTTTATTATCCTTATATATCAAAGGCACAGGTATTATTTTCAGTAGAGCTTCATACACAACAACTTGTATTAGAAAGATGGTTTCTGAAACATTTGCCCAAGTATTGATATTTTCATGCATTTGACCTTTAGAATATTTTTATTGTTTTATTTCTAAACAAGCAAAACAAAAGCGCAAAACGTGAAACGCAAACCATTTTGGCCACCATACTTGCCAAAGTAGGTGTGTAATAACAATCTTGCATTACTAAAATACACTACTAAGTAAATTAATATTTACTTTTTCAGAATGTCAGCTAGAACACTGTAATGCATGCTTTAGTAATAGCTATTGCACCCAGTGTAAACATCCTTACATATCATACCGTGGACGTTGTACTGAAAGTTGCCCGGATGGACTTTATTACGCTAATTACTCAAAAGACTGCCGCCTTCTTGGTAATTTTTATACTTGTAATATGTAGTTCTGAAAACAAAAAATCAAAATAATTACAGACATGGAAAAATTAGATTTCTTTGATTTCATAGCTGATGTTGCAAAATTTACTTGTAAATTAATATTTAGATTTTCTCAAAAGAATTGGAATACATGTTGTTTATACAAAAAGAAACTATATACATCCATAACGATATTTCTATATATAATGTTTAAAATTTTCTTAAAAAACACTCAGAAATGGTAGGTTTTTCGGCAAAGAAATGCTATTGCTGTTTTATATCTTAACCGTTACTGCCTATCATCTTTTTTTTTGTAATTTTCATGCCGTTCTCTACGAGCAATCATTAAAAACCCATTCGCATAATAATAATACATTTTGGCAAATAAATTAAATTACTGGAACTATTTTAAACGGCTAGAGTATAGCACCGTATGGTTAATATTATCTAAAGTTATATGCAATAGAACTGATAAAAGTACTGCCATGGAATCCTTGATATCCCATGTTGTTTTTGCTGGAGTATTATTTGATAACATATATATATACAGCATGTTAACACTTAACCGTCAAAACTGCTTGCTTTTATTTATTGTTTGTCACCCTGCTAATGCAATAAAAGCTTCTCATGCATTTAGTTAAATAATTGCTATTATTTATTTCTATAAATCTTTTGTTTACTTGAAATTATTATTTTTCATGTATAGTGGATTGTATGGCTGGGCCATGGTCGTCGTGGACCCCATGTGCTAGAAATGGTCAAACTTGTGGTTTTAAATATGGTATTACCACGAGATCTCGTGAGATTCTAGAACACCCTTCACCAAATGGAGCAACATGTCCATCACTTGTAGAAAACAGGTGCTGCAGGATGGAAATGAGACACTGTGCAGGTAATACTCTTTACTATTTCTGTGTCGATCATGAGTGATACTTCGTTGATAGTCACACTTTCAATTAAGATACAGCTACTAATCAATAAAATATTACTTAAATGCATACTGCCTTTTAAAAAAGAAGCAATATCTTGTTTGAAAAATTACAATAAACCCTCTAGTACCTATCTAGCATCTATGATGAGTTTATTCATAAACAAATGCTATCTGAGAAATATCAAAACAATGACTGAAGTTTGAGCAAAACCCGTTTTTTAAATAATTTTCTTGATGATACATTTTTTCCGTTATGATGTGGCCTTAAAGAAGTAATTAGGGTCTGAATAAACCATCGTTGAAACGAGAGAACCAGTTAAAGAACTTTTTTCAAACTAGATATATAATTATTCATCATCTACTGATGGAGTGAAAAGTTGTCGAGATACGAGTGTGAAAATGGCCAGCGTCAATTTTTTGGTCTAAATGTGTCAAAATAAGATGGTGTTAAACCGTGGCTTTGTTATACATTGTCTCTCCAAATCTGGGCACACATGACAGATTCACAAATATCAAACATTTTTAAGTTATAAAGTATTCACATCTGAATGTGTACAAAGTATTTGGCGAATTACCTTACTGGATGGACATTTTTTTATATATTTTAAATAGTTGTTTTCTCGAGCAACTTTTATATTCTTTCATTATCATTTTGTACCTAACAATACATCTGTATATGTGTTGCTCTTCACTAACACCTTCTATGCAGCATGCCTGCCAATTTTAGATCGAAAAGACTAAACAGTTTTGAGAGGAGACGAGACAGTGATTGTTCCAGACAGTTCAGTACACATCTGTGTGGGGGATCAGTGATTGGAAGAATTTTTGTGATATAGCGTTTGAGAAAGATTTAGTTTTACATGGATCAGTTTCTCTCGTCTCCACGAATTTTAAAAACAAACATTTAGTATTTATTTGAACCATATTTGGGATAAGAATTAACGCATCAACGGACATCCAGAGTTGTTTTTTTTGTAATCATGGATGGTGTAAATCTATGATAATATCTTACTTTTGGTCTATCCATCAGCAACTTAATTTCTCCTATGCTTTACAGAAACCAACTTCTGATTTAAATGTGAACCGCGTTTTTGTTGTTGAACATTTTTAGAAAGGATTAACTTGATTCTTGCTCAGATGTTTACTTTACTGATTATTTCAGCAAAGGATCGACTAGTACTGTTTAGACATATATATTCATATTTTTTTCAACTTGGACACAAAGATGAAAATATACATATGTGTAGCAGTTTAAACACTGTCGCGTGATTATTTTATGGATAATTCTTTTACTAGTTATATTTCTTTAAATCGCAAATCGGTGATTTCTGTAATAATGATCCGATAATATATTCAGGTAAAATGGTTCAATGTTTGTATCTTTCTTTTCATCATTTGAAAGATTTTTGCTATAAATTGGAATGTGCATACTGAGTTATTCAGAACACTTAAGCATGACGCATATTTCATTTAGTATTAGTTAAGCACACTAGGATTTCTTTTCATAATTTTAAAGCAATATCATCATTAAAAAGTTTGAAAATATCCAATATCCTCGGTCTGACCTATAGCCAGAATATAACCTTCCTTACATTGGCAGTGCGATTATTGGACTGTTATGATTTAATTTAAATGATTACATTAATTTATGTAATCTAAAACTGGTCATGTTTAAAAAAAATTAATATTCACAATAAAATGTAAAAATACAAGATCTACAGTACAGTTAAACAGATGGTGTTTTGTTTTTCCTATGTTATGATTTGTGGTGGACGCTTTTATTTTCTTATTCTTTTGATTAAATAAGACAATCTACATTCTTTATTTATGCTTACTAATATTATTACCTATTAACCCGTTATAATTGCCTAGTTTGAATCTTTTCAGAAATATCATCAAAGTTTTGACCATTTTGTGAAGTCAAATATTATTAATTGCTTAAATATGTACGAGTGCTTGATACTTCCGAAAAGATTCCATAACATTAAATATTGTCTGTCAATTGAAGCATGAAATTATATAGTAAAGATGCTTTGGAATGTGCATGTTTAGAACTTAGTGATTATATCCAAGAACGTGTAACAACTTATGAAAAATAAAAGGAACCGAAGGCAAAGTCACACATTTATTTGCAAATATTTCCACAATGCGAAAAGTCATATCTGTTATTTAGATTACAAAACAATACATTGAATATTTTAAGACAGTTTTGCTCGTCCAAAATTATGACACAACCATAGGCATTTTGTTATCAAAAATAATAAATTTGATATTTAAACACCTTTTAGCGGAGAACAAAGTATTACAGTCATCTGATAAGAAATAAAGTAGTATGTTTTGGCAAACGATTTAAGAATGAACTACTTTTTCTCTACCTTTTGCTATTGGGAATTTTGCCCTTGATGTCTGTTTTCTGAACTTATTGACATGAACATTTATTATAGTATACGTAATAAAGGTTATTTAAGGAGTGTATTGATGTGTAATTCAACCGACTCACAAACACAATAAAATCCAAAGGTTATAACTGTAATATAGGGCGACTCGATCGCAAACCCATTGTAGTTCGAAAGATTTTATATTCGGATGTGTAAACTGGAGCAACTCACTCACAAACTAAAATGAGTTCGAAAGTTTGTGAGTGAAAGGCCGAGTATACACATGAATAATATACCTTATCGTGTTTTGAGTGAGTCAGACGAGTTTAAAACCAATGAACTCCATTGCAATTTCCTTTATTACTTTAAATGATAAATGCACTAAAATTATATCCAGCTCAAAAAATTCATCAACACTTGCAAAATCAGTTCACCTGTGTTAGAAGTTTATACCTGTGACGGTATTTATATAAACGTTTTTGTTAACAATGAATAAGACTGAGCATTCAACGATGGAACTATTTCACCATAATGCTTAAGATGTGACTCTGACTTTAGTTTTTGAGTGAAAATATTCTATACTTTAACCAAAGTAAGACAATATTTAATGTTTACTTGCAGATATTCTTCACAATCAATCTGAGTTTACAAAGTGGAAATCCTTATCAAAACACGACAGAAAAATACTTCGTCGTCGGTATAGGCGACGGAAGAGGAGGAAACACAAAAAGAGACACAAACTAAGAAAAAGGAAGAAGAAAAATGAAACAAGAAAAGAAAAACAAAGAAATAAAGATAAAAAGAGACATAAAAAGAAAAATAGATTAAAAAATAAGCGAAAAAGGCGACTAATGCGACGAAAAGAAGCCTGGAAAGTTTTTTGTGGAAATGGAATCGTGTTTAATGATCTGAACTCTATTCCTTTACTGAACTAATGGTCGCACCTTCAAAGTATTTCTTTATCACTCAACCAAATGAATCTGTCAAAACACAGTGGTCCCTAGTCGCAATCGGTCATTGTTAAATTGAATTCTTCCCAGCCACCATTCATTGTTGAATTATGTTCTTTTGATGGGTTCTTATTTCAGTTTTGTGCCCAATGAAATTATAAAATTGTTATTTGAGATTTTCAGCATCAATGCAACACGATTTGTGCTTGAAAGTTCATTATAAGAACTGCACAACTAAATGAAACCGTTCTTATGCTGATTTACCAACTAATACTACTGTATTTTCAAAAAGATAGATAAATAAATAAATGCGTAGAAAATCTTCAGATATTAATATTCTTGACAACTATTTTGTATAAGTTATCAATTAAAATTTTTAATACTTTACGTCCTCAGAAACAAGTCAATAGAGAAACATATGTGAGAGTTTATAATTATTGCATATATCCTTACAATTACACCACTTCACTACATATGAAAATTTGAAGTGTTATCAGCTGATTAAAGCGTGTAAAATTTTGTGTTCAATTTATACGATTTTCTTCAATATAAATACCTTATATTTTTTAGTTCCTCTGGCTTTTCTGAGATTGATTGAATGCAAGAATGAATGAAAGAAAAATAGCAATCTTCAATGTTCACTTTGTCTTTCAATGTTGCAAACGACTATTTTAAATAATCTAGACAACACCACAGGTAATTGGTGTACAATTTGTATATTGGTAAAATATGAAATCGGGTCGCATACTTGTTTTAGCATTGTATATAATCTGACATTATGTATATTTTGAACAGATTATGATTCATTGGATTCATTGACCGTTACAACACCAGGAGAAGGCCAGTGTTCTATTGACAACGGTTAACTGCAGTTTGTATTATGTGTATGTAAAAAAACGCAACATGTATACAGTTGGAAGTATTTAAACGGACAATGTATGAAAAGCATTTATGTTTGAAATTATAAACTATTGTACAGATTGTAGTCATTTTCGTATAACATTATGACTTGTGAGTTTTAATTTTTTAACATAAAAATGAAACTCATGACAACACTAATATGTTTAATCCTCCATTTAAAATACTGATCTAGCTAGCAGAAATATCTTAAAAGTTTACAAGATTCATAAAATATACCATTGAAATTGATGACTGATGCTCTTTTAATAAGAGTTCTGCGGGACAATAATTTGTTCAGATTATATAGTTTGAGATGTTTCAGTGAATTCCGAATTACTTTTGTAGATTGGTTTCATTGCTTTAAGATCGAATAATACAAATAACAAAAATGAGATTTACAATAAACATTTCGCATTCCATTAACACCATAAAGTATTGGTTCCAGTTTACAGTAATTATATTTAGGTTAAATTGAATTCAACATTGGTATCCAAGGATAGTTACTGTAGTAGTATGCGATAAAATTCCGAAAAAAAATATATTACAATTGAAGCTATCTATTTTGTCTTGTGAGTAAAATGAGATGTGCATGCAATTTGACAGCAATCAAAAAAAAAAAAAAAAAAACAACAATAAGATCCTATATATAGAGGTTAGCACAAAATAGACAAGTGTTTATATCGTATGCAAATTAAAACAAAAATATGTTTAGAAGCGACAACCAAAGAACAGCTACTTGCCTTTGGGGAGACACAATAACACGCTGGCTTCGTAAACTAGTTTTTTAGTACTTGATCCTCTAAATGCACAATAAACCTCAGTCTAGCATAAAACATGTAACTAAATAATGACAAAACTGTAAATAAAAAACATTACAAACCAATTTGTTTGTTACTGATATATTTAACATTAAAGTCAACTTATTAAAGTTTTATACCTTACTTCAGTGATTGTTAGACTGTAAAGATTTTCTTCTAGCACACCTGGTTTACGATCGTTTTTTACTATCAAATATTGCAAAAAACAAAAATTCTAATGTGAATCTGATCCGATTGCACTTCTAGTATATACATTCACACTTCACAATAGTTGCATACTTTAGTTTTTTTGGATATTTTTTGAGACGTTTTGTTCTTCCTTCCGTCTTTTATATTCATTTAAGTGACATTTCAATGACTTTTTTTGTTTAGTTTTTGTTTTCCCATTTCTTGGCTCCGAATGTACCTATACAAGTTCATAGAAACAGTTGCCATTCGTATTACATAAAAGATTTATACATTTATTAAATGTTTTCTACATGTTTATTGTGCATATGTTCATGTGATAAAAATTGAAATTCAGAAGAACGAAATATTTGCATGTTTCCTTTAAGGAAATAATGTGAAAAAACTGATGTCTTTGTTAATCAATTTATTTTTGAGTCTTGGGTTGATGTCCCATTCACCTATACCCGACATCGCATTTTAATCATTAGTATTTTTCTCAGAATTACTGCACGTGACACAGTTATTGACAAAAATAATTTTTATGAATTTATTATGTTATTTATTTGTTTAAAACTTTATTACTTTTCTGTACTAATAAACTTGTCAGAAGTTTAATGTAAAAATGAAGAAAAAATCTGTTGTAAAAATTATGACGTAATATATTCATTGATATCTTACGAGTTCATTTTTTGTTGTTTAAATTTTTTAGGACGTTTTTAGTAGGGTAATAGATTAGGAAAACCTACAAAAATTTGAAAATCATTATTTTTATTCTACCAAAATTGTAAACACAGTAAACTATCTATGAAATAAGGAAATACATCGCATGAATATTTCATTGTTTTGTTACGTCATAAATGATGAAATTAAAATAAATACATGTAATAAAAAATTGGGATAAACTATTAAATGCAATTTTCTTATATTGTTTGCAATCATAACATGTCTATCACATTTAAAAAAATCAAACTAGTTTACCAAATATGAAATTAATTTGACTTTCCCTTATTCAAGTGGGCATGCAATTGTGCAGAAACTGCATTAAATTACAGGAATTCCTAAAATATGTATCTTTGACGATGTGATGTAAGGCCATATAACCATACATAATGAACAAAAACATATTTTTCTCTTTACTTATCTATTTCTATGGTGGCATACATCTGCCCCTACTTGTCACTTAATTAGCTAAATAAGTCGACTTGTCAGTTAATTTAGTCTACTTGTCACTTAGTTAAGTATACTTGTCAGATAATAAAATGAAACTGTTTTGTAGAAAATTAAAACATCTTTTAGCGTTTTTCGTCCATTTCATGGCATGTAAAAACAGACTTCTATATTTTACAGTTGCACTTAACTAAGTGACAAGTAGACCTAATTAAGTGACAAGTAGACTTAATTAAGTGACAAGTAGACTTGTGTTATCTGACAAGTCGATTTGTGTATCTGACAAGTGTACTTGTGTATCTGACAAATTGACATGTACATCTGACAAGTCGACTTGTGTATCTAAGTCGACTTGACAAATATATATACCGACTTGTCAGATACACAAGTCAACTTGTCATATACACAAGTACACTTGCCAGATACACAAATCGACTTGTCAGATAACACAAGTCTATTTGTCACTTAGTTAAGTGATATGCCACCATATTTTTTTTTTAAATTTCTATCTATCCGTAATCAACGCCCTTTCCCTTATTCAACTTAGATTTTGTTAATTATTCATAAAATGAACTTGACTATATTCAATACTTTCTGTAAGTTTTGTCTCAGTAAATCTTAAAAAAATGTACCAGTTCAGTAGAAAGTAGCTTTTATAATGGGATGTAACACATGATAAAAATAAAATAACACTTTATACATTTTATTCGTCCGAAGAGCTTTTCTGTTTGAAGAGCTGTATGACCAAAAGGAACCTAAAGATAGTAGACAAATCCATCCAAGGTTAACTGTCTGAGGAACCTTAGTTTCTTAATAATTTCTAAATTTTCAAACGGAAAATTTTGGAAAGGTATGTTATAATTCATGCCAGTACCGAAGCACTGACCATTTTGCTGATGATACTCTCGGGATAAATAGTCCTTCAGCAGCGATATCAACTAAGTGCTAGAAAAATGCTTTTTAAATCTGCATGCGTCCGAAGCACTTTTATTAACCTACATCAGGAACGCTCAAAACCACTCAAAACCAAATGTTTATAAAAGCCAAGGATGTGTAAGAACCGAAACATGTGAAAAGCTATATTACCAAAAGGGATCTAAACATAATAGCCAAATCCATCTAAGATTAACTTTGCCCGAGGGAGTTGGAATCTTAGTTTCTTTAAAATAACTTTTTTTTAAACAGACAATGTTAGACAAAATCACTGATGTTTTATTGATGTAATTATTCTATGTCCAGACAAATGCTATATGTATGTGTTCGTATAATTCACGAAATAGATATTGCAACGGAAAAATCCAAATATTGTTGACCGATACATGTAATATATTGATTTAAAACTATGCAAACATTAAAAGTTTTCGTTTTATTGTGGTGTTTTTTTTTTTAATTTCTAATTTGATTTGATTCACGCTCATTGTCATAGGTTGGATGTGTCATGCATTACATCTAGTGGCAAGTATTTAATGCAGATATAGGACCAGGAGACATCAAACACAAAACGATTAGTGCCAAGCGGGTTAAATGAGATGAATTGTTTGAAATTTGAACTACAACTGGGACCTGATTGCTACACCGTAGCGAAATGTCCCCCGCCGCTGTGTAAAAACTCATCAAAGATACCAGGCTTATAATTTGGTACGCCAGACCAGCGTTTCGTCTCCATAAGACTCATCATTGACGCTCGAATCAAAACAGATGGAAGGTCAAATCAAATACGAAATTGAAGAGCATAAAAACCGAAAATTCCGAAAAGTTGTGCCTAATACGACGTAAGCAATCTATGTCTTGGGGAATACAAACCTTATTGTTTAGATCAATTTAACACTTAATAAACAGTAAATTTACAGACAAATGAACCTATGAATGATAACTCATATTAACACAGAAGTACTGACTACTGTGGTTGTGATACCACCAGGGACGAAACGTCCACCAGCAGTGGCACCGACTCAGTGGTTGTTAAAACTCATCAAAGATACTAGGCTTATAATTTGGTACACCAAACGCGCGTTCTATCTACATAAGACTCATCAGGGGCGCTCGAATCAAACAATTGGAAGGTCATATTAAGTTCGAAGTTGAAGAGCTTTATAATTCGAGCGTCACTGATGAGTCTTTTGTAGTCGAAACGCGCGTCTGGCGCAAATACAAAATTTCAATCCTGGTATCTATGATGAGTTTATTTATTAACCGAAAATCCCGAAAAGTTGTTCGAAATACGGCTAAGGCAATCTTTGCCTTGGGGCAGATAAACCTTAGTGTTTAGAATAACACAACAGTTTATAAAGAGTAAATTTACAGAAAATAAACATAATTTTATAATGATGAATAAAAGGTGTGTCAGGAGGTTTCATTTCATACGAAGTATAAAATAGTCAAATCAAAGTATTATGTATGGTCAACTACACATAATGGTAAACAAACCCACTAATTACGAGAGTTTTCTGTCAAACGTTCTCAGAGGAGTTGCGTTTATAAGCTATAAACTTTACAATACTAAAGAAATCGTTCTATGATTTCCGAAAAAAAATTTCGAATAAAATAAAAACGGTAAAATTTGGTAAACTACACATGAAGGCAAACAATCCAAGTAAGTATGAGAATTTTCTGTCAAACGGCTTCAGAGGGGTAGCGTTCACGAAAACGGACGGAGAGATATTATTACCATATCTTCTGCGGAGCAACGAGGCGAGTGACAAACTGTTTATATCTTATGTTTTGGCAAATATTATTTAACCATCAAATAAGTAATCTGAGGATTCCTAAACAAGTTTTTTGAAATATTACCATTACGTATATAAAAGAGAGACATAAATAATAAAATATTTATGATATAGTTTTTTTTCAATATCACACCTCGTTTCAACCGTCAACCAATGTAATACCTCGGGATTACATTGATGTCTCGGGTAGAAACGGGTGTGACATTGGAACAGGCAGCTAAAATCCTTCATTTGAACAATTCTGAGTTATCAAATTTGTCAGATGATAATTCACCTGTCGTAAAAAAAATTCATAGCTACGTAATAGTATCATAATTATTTTTTTCTTATTGGTGTCGGATATTTAATCTCAAAAGAATGAAAAAAAACAACACGTTATACATTTCATGCGTCCGAAGCGCTTTTCTGGATTTACCTTCATCAGGAACGCTCAAAGCCGAATATTTGAAAGTCATGGATGTATAAGGACCGAAAACGTTGAAGAGCTTTAACCAAAAAGAACTTAAAAAAAATAGCCAAATCCATCTAAGGCAAACTTTGTCTAAGGGAGTTGAAAACTTTGATTATAATTTCAAAATATATTAACGGGCAATTTAATAAAATTTGTTATAAATCATGTCAGTACCGAAGTACTGACTGACTACTGAGCTGATGATAACCTCGGGGACTGATAGTCCACCAGCAGAGGTATCCACTCAGTGCTGTAAAAAAATGAAAACAACACCTTATAAATTTCATGCGTCCGAAGTGCTTTTCTGGATTAACCTTCATCAGGAACGCTCAAAGCCGAATATTTGAAAGACATGGATGTATAAGAACTGAAAACGTTGAAGAGCTAAAACCAAAAAGGACTTTAAAAAAATAGCCAAATCCATCTAAGGCCGACTTTGCCTGAGGGAGTTGAAACCTTAGTTTCTTTATAATTTCAAAATTTATAAACGGGCAATTTAATAAAATTTGTTACAAATCATGTCAGTACCGAAGTACTGACTACTGAGCTGATGATACCCCGGGGACTTAAGAGTTCTCTGATGATATCAGTAGAGTGAGGTTTCATTGTTATTGTGCAGTCGCTTTTTCAAAGTACTGAACCACGAGAAAATAAACAAACGATTTTTTAAAAAGAATTGAATACAATATTTATGTTTATATGACTTTTCAGATGAACTGTATGTTCTTATTAATGCATTGTTTCATTTCCTTAATAACATTTAGGACTTAAAATGGAAATATAGCTCATTTTGGACAATGCCATGTCCTGAAATGGAGTATAGGATCACTTGACTGCCTGCATGGTTAGACCAAGGTCAAATCCACTTGAAAAATTTCACAAAAAATCAAAGCAAACGTCTTAAGTACCCCATTTGCTCAAGCACATTTCAACAGTTTTTATTTTCGAAAAATGTCTGTACAAAGTAGTCAGGAATATGGCAGTTGTTTTCCGCTTGTTCCGTTGATTGATAGCATTTGATTTTGTCAGTTTTTTATGGACTTCTCCTTTTTGAATTATCCTTGGAGTTCGATACTTTGTTTTACTTTTTTACGGTCACAGATTCTAAGACTTTTGTATGCAAGTTTCTAGATAATAAATCATTTTCAAGGACTCCATTTCGTTTATTTTGATACACATGAACTAATGTATGAGCCATATTGTCAGCTTTTCTGTCAAAACTTTTTAGTTTTATAGTTTATATTGTCTCGAAATGAAAGGGGTCGTACGGGAAGGCAGATTTCGTATCTTATGGGGAACAGGAAGATTTTAAATATTATACCCCCGTTTTAAAAAAAATGGGGGTATACTGTTTTACCTCTGTCTGTCCATCCGTCCCATGAATATTTTTCGTCGCATTTTTCTCAGGAACTACATTACAAGGATTTCTGAAATTTGGTTTCAGGGTTTATATGAGTCAGCTATACTGTGTGATGCGTTTTCAGATTCATCACACAACAACTTCCTGTTTACCTTATACTTTTTTCGGGGCGGGGGTATCATTAGTGAGCAGTAGCTCACAGATTCACTTGGTTTTTTTGCCTATAAATCCGTCTGAACTCTGTTTTTTTTAAAGACAGTTTTACTTGCTATCTTTCTCTATCTTTATTGTTCTTACACGTTCATATGATATAAGATAATATGACACCATATTGTGTATCGTTTTGATTGAAAGAAAGCTATATGTATAAATACCTCTAACTAACCGAAATATGTGGTGGTCGATATTTCCTAATGAAATTATCCGACAGCAGAGTAAAAGGATTGTAACATGTTCATTCAGGCATTAATGGGTAGCAGGAGAAATAGTTTATGTATTAGTAAGAATTCAACGGCTAAACTATACCCGAAGAAAAGGTATACTTCTCAACTTCTTCTGTCCCATGAACTTTTCGTTGAAATTTTCTTTTTGCAAGAAATACAAACCATAGCTTCCCGGAATTTGGCACCAAGTTCATGCGAGCATGCTTTACCATGTGAGGCATTTCAAATCCACTGCCCATAAACTTTCTGTTTACCGTATTCTTATATATTCGTACACATTATGGTCATGTATAAAATTACAATTTAGAACTTCGTGATATTTAATATTAAGCTTCGTTTGAGCATGCGTTATGGTGTGAGATGTTTTCATATCTATCGCTCGTTAACTTAATGTTTTCTCATTTTTATGACGGGAGTTTCTCCATTTAAAAGTCCAAGACAGCTGACAATAGGGTCATACTATACCATGTTTTCCATTTCAATAAAAATATACGAAATCGGGTGCCTGAAAATGAATTTTTTATCCAGAAAAAAATGAAAGCACCACTTTATAAATTGCATGCGTCCGAGACGCTCTTCTGTATTTGCCTTCACCAATAACGCTCACAGCCGTATATTAGAAAGCAAAGGATATATAAGAACCGAAACAGTTGAAGAGCTATCTGACCAAAAAGTACCTTAAATAATAGCAAAATCCATCTAAGGTCAACTTTGCCTGAGGGAGTTGAAACTTTAGTTAACATGCAACCTTATATCTATGGTTTTCCAATCAAAAGTGACAACTGAATAGATGAACAAATGGCAAAGCTTTGGTGTAAATATCAATGGAACCCAATCACCCATCACTTAAACTCTTCATTTTCTTTACAAACTGACAATCAGTTTGTAATGAAAACCAGATAATATATGCAATAATTGGCTACCGAGAAACAAATCTTTATTTTGTTTGTTTTTCAAATATTAAATATCATATGCTTTTTATCAAAATAAAACGAAACTTGAAATTACACAGATTATTCTATTTTTTGATTTTTATCTCGTTTTTAATTGAAGTGATTAGTATTAAATTCCAAAGAAAAAAAACCTGTTTCATATCATAAGACTTGCTGATTTATTAACGAAAGTAACGGGAGACGTTGACATCATGAGTATTAAACAATGACAGGATTACAAATAATTCTTACCCACCACCTGTTTAACATATCAATGTTTTGAAAATAGTGTACCATTGCCATTTCTAGGATATATTTTTAAATCAACATTTGCAATCATATATTTTTCAACTTAAAAGGAGTAGCTGCAACTTAAATATTTATAGAGATATACAGCCAAGTACACATAATTCAAAGGGGAGACCTGAGTTTTGTAATTTTGAATCAGATGGTTGGATCTGAGTAACACAATGGTTGTTGATTTCGAATTTCGAAAATTGCAGCGGAATACCTTTTACCTTATTTGTAAATTCGCTTTTTGGTTGAAGCATCGTCGAATTTCTAGTAGATTCCGTAAAATGCTTTTGTTGTCTTCATGACAAATGAAAACTTTAAGATTTTTTTCGTTTGAAATAATACATAGTAGTAGACGCTTCACCTGTCGACGCAACCGGTCTCAGGTCTCACTCCTTCATGCGATTCACTCAGTTTTTGTTCGTTACCTTGATTTGTCTCCTTATTCGATTTTCGAGATTTGAACATCGGCAATTTTATCCTTTATACATAGCCCGTTGCTATCTTGGCCTTAATCAGAGCTAGCTTATTGCATATGTTCTGTCCCACAATTATTCCAAATCTAATGCATCAATACGTTTTCAGAGAAATCATAAACAAGGACGATAACCGTTTGTCTCGGTATAGATCTGTTATTAAGCAGATAAACCATAAATCTTTCGTTTACTAATAATTTCTTCTACCACTATTTACCTTTTATTTATTGATCACCCATCTTCCCAGAAACACAAACGAAAGCTTTTCATAACATGAATGTGAAATTTTACATTTTTACAATATTTTTCCAATATCTTTGTTGATGATAAATGTTTTATGACACAAAAGGTCTCGCTCCTTTTGAACTTCCATAAGTGTTTGGTTTTTTTTTTACCTTGATTTGTTTATTTTAAGTGATGAAACTTTTTAACATAGGTACACTACTGTTGCCTCTAATTTATGAACATTTTGATAATTAAAAGCGTTTCTTTCCACGTGCTGTAACGTGCCTGTACTCAGTCTGGAGCCTGTAATTAAGTAGTTGTCGTTGGTTGCTGTCTGTTTTCTTTATGTTTTGTTTATTGTTTTTGTCGAGCCTTCGACTTTAGTCGAAAAAGCGAGACATAGCGATCCTAAATTCCGTCGGCGTCATCGTCGTCGTCGTCGTCGTTGTCGTCGGCGGCGTCCACAAATATTCACTCTGTGGTTAAAGTTTTTGAAATTTTAATAACTTTCTTAAACTATCCTGGATTTGTACCAAACTTGGACAGAAGCTTGTTTATGATCATAAGATAGTATCCAGAAGTAAATTTGTTAAAAAAAAATTTCATTTTTTCCGTATTTTACTTATAAATGGACTTAGTTTTTCTGCCAGGAAACAATACATTCACTCTGTGGTTAAAGTTTTTAAAATTTTAATAACTTTCTTAAACTATCCTGGATTTGTACCCAAACTTGGACAGAAGCTTGTTTATGATCAAAGGCTAGTATCTAGTAGGAAATTTTGTTAAAATTTTGTACCTGTTTATCCATATTTTACTTATAAATGGACAGTTTTTCTTCCAGTTAACATTAAATACAGTCTGCAGTTAAAGTTTTTAAAACATTTTTTAGATTCATTAACTATCCTGGATTTATACCAAACTTTGACAGAAGCTTCTTACAATCAAAAGATAGTATAGAGAGGAATATTTTTATTGATTTTTTTCCTCATTTTTGTTGAGCCTGCGATTAACAGCAAAAGTAGACGAGACACTGGGTTCCGCCGAACCCTTACGAATTTTTTCATAAGTGAGGCCGTTGGTTTCCTCCTTTGAACTGTTTTACATTTTGTCATGTCTCATTATCAATCATACCATATCTCCATATATATATAGTAAACAATCGTTTATCAAATCATAGCTTTTGTCATCATATGTATTATGCAATGAACTTTTAGTAACAATGCAGCTTACCATGAACAAATTGGGATACATGCAAATGTATGGAGCCGTTGGTCATGATTAACAGGTACACTACAGTGATTCTTAAGATTTTGTTTTTACCTTGATTTGTATATTCTTAGTGGACTTATGTGATTTGAACATCGGTAAAGTACTGTTGCATCGAATTAACATAATACAACTTCTCTGATAGACATATGTTTTAGTAATGGTGAAGAAAGGTTTAGCCTGGATCTTTGAGATCTCAATATATTCAGAAAGCAAATGTTGTCACCTAGCGCTCAACTTTTTTTTTTATAATAAAACAGCTGCTTACAATTATAGGTCTTGTATTTTACAATTACAGAGTAGCTAAAAGAAATTGTGTTTATTTTTGTTCAATTATTCTTTTATGTCCTTTTTTCTCATGGAGCTATATTATTCACCTACTACTAGTGGTTCCCCTTGAACTGACCTAATCACTAACTAATACATGTAAACTAAGCAAAAGTTCGAAAGTCAATAGACCATGACTTAGGGGGCGGGGCAGAACAATCTCTATGGAAATGAGATGTGCCAATGATAATATAACTGCATACCAAATATCATTCACCCACCACTAGTGGTTCCCAATAAGCTGACCTAATCATAAACTAATACATTATTGTCACTGCCACCGATGCCTGAAACAGCATATACCTATGTCTCGCTTTTTGACTCCGTCAAGGCGAGACAAAAACGTTATGTGAATTGCAGTCAATTAAAATGAAGTAGAAAAGAAAATTTAATTTCAAACAGATAAATGGTAACCAATTAACAAACCAATTTTGAAGGCATAACTGACCTCTAACAGACATTATCAAGTACAACTCAGACTCTGTCAAAAACAGTTCAGAATATGTACATGAAATTAACACTGAAATAAATTTTGAAGATCAGTGTCTGATGAAGTGGTAGTAAACTTCAGATTGTCAAGTACATTTTAGATTTGGTCAAGTACAGACTTTAAAATGGGTGAAAATATTAGAACATGCTTTTAGTATTATTTAGGCTTACAAAGCCTACTCTTTTTCATAGTAAGTAAATGAGGTTTGTTAACGTGTGATCTACTGCAATCAATGTCCAGACTTTCTGCATTATACATATGACACCCTACGGCCACCCTTAATAAATTTATTTGTTTGATGTTGCCTTCCCATGCCTTATATCATAGGGTCCGGAAGGTAGGTAGGGATTCTTTTTTTTTTTGGCAATAACATAAGTAACATGTTTATATTTTTCAATTATGGGTTGTTTGCCTGTGAGAGAGCTTTCACATGTTTATTTTATCTTTGTATTATAAATTGTTACTTGGATGGAGAGTTGTCTCATTGGCACTCATACCACATCTTCCTATATCTATTTACTGCAGGGTTTGTTGCTCGTGCTGTGTGGATGCAGTAGAATGTGTCCCCGTGCTTGTGGTGTATGCCCTTATATTTTTCAATTATGGGTTGTTTGCCTGTGAGGGAGCTTTCACATGTTTATTTTATCTTTGTATTATAAATTGTTACTTGGATGGAGAGTTGTCTCATTGGCACTCATACCACAGCTTCCTATATCTATTTGGACAAGAAAACGACATTAGAGCAGGAAAAAAACTTTAAACAAAAAATCTGAAACTATTTGTGTTATAAAATTTTTCTGGGTAGGCTGCTTGAAATTTGGGTAGGTAGTCATCATCCAACAATCTAAATTTCATTTGTGGCCTAAAGACGAGGACACCTTTTTCATTCAGTCACATTGGGGTAGGCTAAGAACTTTGTGGGTTGAGCACCTGTAAATGTTACCTGAAAGATTTTATGTGAAACCTTGTCTTTATAAATAAATTTGTTAACAAATTGAAACATTCATAATTGTTTTACAGTCTTGCTTTGTGTTTTACATCTTTATCAAAGCAACATGTTAATACTTTCATAGATATTCAACTGGAAAGTTCAAACCTCTTTAGATGAAAGGATAAACCTTGTGCAAAAAATTAAGCACAATCCTGTCTTCTTTTACTCTCTTAAATCGTTCTTTTGGTTAAATCTTTTTTCACTTCCGATATTTTTTCTGGGAGATCATCACTTTGGGTAAATTATAATGAACCAGGTTCATGATTATGTACCATAGACCATAGATTTGACAGTTGAGTAAGGATCTGGTTCCATATGATCTTTTAAAGTATTGAAACATTCTTCAGCTAGCTTCTTTTGTTGTTTACAGCCTGATAAAACCATTTCTCCATATAAATAGACACCCATAGCCTTAAACAAAGTATCACTCCAATAAAATATTATCTCATAATTTAATGTATTAAAATTTGTGGACAATAGCTCACACTGGTCATGTAAGTAAGCTAAAAATTTACCAATCAGAATAAAATGTTTGTTGCTATTGGCTGCATTTTTCATCAGATTATAACAAGATATATAATTATTAGAGGATCTTTCATGCCTCATTCCTGCTAATTTTTCTTAAGAATAGACTTGTATTTTCAATGAATATGTTGATTTGGTATATCATTTGCTATCCACTTATCCAACTTTTTTAACTGATTTAATAACCTTTAAATAGATCAGTTCTAAAAAAAATGAAAACAACACATTATAAATTTCATGCGTCTGAAGCACTTTCCTGGATTCTCCTTCATCAGGAACGCTCATAGCTGAATATTTGAAAGCCAAGGATGTATAAGAACCGAAACAGTTGAAGAGCTATATTACCAAAAAGGTCCTAAAAAAATAGCCAAATCCATCTAAGGTTAACTTTTACTTTTAACATGTTCCAGCTTCAAAGAATAAGAAGATGAAGATTTAATTTTACAAAAGATTCATCAAGAATCTACAAAGCAACTATCCTCCATTAATGTTATCTGATAAGCATGAAATGAAGATTCTTTGTAATCTAAAAGAGGAAAAAATTTCAAAAGATTTACCAATCAGATCATGATTTGCTACTGATCAGGAGGAAATGTGGAGTTTTCATACCAGAACCAATATGACCCTTTATGCATATTTTGGCTAAAAGTGGCTCTACAAAATTGTGACAAATAAACAAATGGCATAATGGTGACAATAGCTCCAACTGGTCATGCAAGCTAAACATCAGAATAAAATGTTTGTCTCTATTGGCTGCATTTGTCATCAGATTACAGTTTCTTTAATAGAGTTCCCTTTCGTAATGCAAAATCAAAAGTTATTGTAGCTTCAGTAACAAAAGAATATAAAAGCAAGGGGGAAATATACTAACCTGATGATTTAGGAGAAATTCTCTCAGATCTTGATAAAATTTTTGTACTTTGTGTTTTATGACCAACTCACACCATCTATGTTGTACCTGTAAAAAACAAAATTAACCTTCGTAAAATATGATTGCCTCTCAACCTTAGCTTTTGTACAGTTAAATGACTAATAAACTCAAAATTTCTAATAAAATTTTGTCTCTGGAATAATCTTCAATCAGGTCTGAGACCAAATGTTTGAGAATCCAAGTATATAATACATTTAAGAACATCAAAATAAAAAAAGTAGCCAAAACCATCTCCGGTCACCTTGTGGAAATTACCTGTGTCCCTCTTATCATGGATGATTTCTTTACAAATATAAATTGTAGTTAAAGGAATAACATCATATACACCAAATGAAACACTACTTGAAAGAAATTTACATCAATATCTTCAGATATTTACATAACAAATTCTCTTCAAATAATCTGATTTTACCATAAACACCCACAAAGTGTATGCCATATTTTACAAGAGAGGTCCCTGTACTTTAGGATTTGGGTTTATTCAAGGTTACATTAAGGTAAGGCTTTGTTCTAAGATATGGTGAGATTTTAGGATAAGGGCTAGTGTTTGGGTTAGGATTGGGTAAGGATTGATTTAGTATAACTCTAAATTTGATAAGGGACTTTCTGTTTTGAATTTTCCTTGGAGTTTGCTATTTTTGTTATTTTACTTTTTTCTATAAAAATAAGGACCCCTAAGATAAAATAAGCCTAAAAGTTATCCAACTGTACATACTCTCACTACAGGTAGATTGATCAATTCATTCATGAGGGTGCACTGGTTTGTTTCATATTCATAAAAAATACATTAATTTATAAGAGTTGATCTGTTTTTATATGATATAATTTAAATAAAGTGGCTAATTAATTTACACTATGTTTAGCCACACCATAGTTTTAGAGCTTTACATATAGGTCAGACACTTACTTATTGCATAAAACATTATGTTCTGCTTTTTCTATAACATTTACCTACATTCTGTGACATGATGACTAGATTTGTCTGTCAAATCAGTATTTTTTTCCTAAGGTTGGTCAGTAAACAGCAGAAATTTTGTTTCCTCAGATTTATATTTATACATATGCATTTTTTTTACATAAAATGACCTGGATCTACAGTTGATCACTTCATTAAATTGGACAAAATTTAGTTCAATTAGAGAAGAGAGACGATGATAGAGACTTATACCTAAATTGCATATACATTTCAGTCAATTCAAATAACTTCATTCGTTAGGTAAGTCCCTATGTTTGGTTGACATAGTGTAAAAAATAACATAAGGACAGAGAAATAAGCTGCCAGCATGTACAACTATTGGCATTTTGATTGTACATAAAAATAGTAAGCGAGGTTCAACCTTCAAATCACTAACCCTAGTGCATGCATATATGAAGTCTCACACTTCACATGATTTGGTAGTTGCCTGGCAAAAATTAATTCCATATAGATTTCCACTTTTTAGATTAAATGACAAAAACAATATGACATTTGGCCCTCCTACCACAGGCTTAAACTTACATCTGCATTCTGTGACATCATATGATATCTGGTCCGAATGTTAACCAGTTGATTGGCTGGAATTTTCTCATCCTCCAGCAATATCTCAAGAAATAACACCAACTGTAAGGGAGCTAACTGAAAAAGCCAAGAAATTTTATATAAGCTATAGTAAAACTATTCTTAACAAGAGGCTCAAGAGAGCAGTGATCTGGAAGGATTTTTTCTCTATGGGCCCAGGGCCCCCCAAAAATAAATTCAATGAGCCATTTTTAGAATTAATGGGCCATGTTGTCAAATGAGTGGGCCATTCGTTTACAATAAAAAAAATAAATAAAAAAAGTGTATATTTCACTGTACTTACAAGTATGATTCTAATTAATATCATGGATATTGTTCCTGTGATTTTGTAATTTCAATTTCAATGAATATACAATAACTTCTTCCAAACCGGGCAATATTTACGATAACCTTTATTTACAATGTTAAAACTTGTACTGTTCCCTTGTTCATGTTCATGGTTTTTTTTACATTAAATTTGGGTCTTCGTCGATACCATACTTATTCCAGACGTTCCGTATTAGAGGACGTTTCTGACATTTCCTCTGCACTTGTATTATTATTACTTCATCACGATGACAAGAATAACAGTAGAGAGCAACGTTAATTGATAAGACACAACAACAATTCGCTGAAGGCATGTTTACAAAATGTCAAAACGAGCCAAAGACCAAAAAAATTGATAAGGACAGTTAAGCCCCTTTTATGGAGACAAATACTATGCTATTCATAAAAAGGCTTTTGGATTTTTCAATCGAAATAATAGCAAGCTTACTTAAAAGATTATAATTAGGTACTAGCCAATTTTCACAAATTTAAAGTTGTTTATAAAAAAATTATATCATGAATGATGGTTAATTACGTTTTTTGGGTTATCAGTCATACCGCATGTTGCTAATATTACCATAGGAAAACACCCGAGACGTCCCAAAAATATATAGGTGCTCCTATCATTGGAGTAAACACTACACAGTTGTGTACTCACACATGGCGGCACGAAATACGATCGGAAATCCATTAGACGATATCTCAACGTTTCAAAACGAAGTGAAAAATATCATGCGCCACGCGGGCGCTTACATTTGTCACTCTATGCGCCATTTCTGGTCGATAAGCGCAATTGGCGCAAGGCGCACGTCCTTCCCGATCACTGAGAGAGCCTGATATCGCACACCTGTAATTTCAGTTTCAGGCATTTGACTTATTTGTAGATCTTACTTTGCTGAACAATTTTGTCATTTACACTTTCTCTCTTTCTATAATAATATTAAAGATAATACATAACCCAAAACTGTAAAATTTCCTAAAAATTAACTATTTCTGGACAGTAACCCAACAATAAGTTGTCCTATTGGTCTGAAGATTACTTGACAGGTAGATCTAAACCTGTTTAACACTTTCACCTATGTCAGTTTTGCTCTTACTGCTTTAGTTTTTTGAGATGAAAGCCAAAAACTTCATTTGACCCCTATGTTCTATTTTTAGAAACTGCCGCCATGTTTTTGAATGGATCAAATCCCCGAATACAATCCATAAACTACATACCCTAAGGAACATTCAATTAAAGTTTTTAAGTACTTGGCCAAGTAGTTTCAGAGAAGAAGATTTTTGAAAAAGTAATTAGACTCACAAAAAATGTAAAAAAAAATACGTTATAAGGGCAATAACTCCTCAAGGGGTCAATTGACTATTTTGATCATATTGACTTATTTGTAGATCTTACTTAGCTGAACATTTATTGCCATTTATACTTTCTCTCTGTCTATTATAATATTAAAGAAAATAACCAAAAACAGTAAAATTTAATAAAAATAAACTATTTCCAACAGTAACCCAACAATGGGTTGTCGAACTTGTCTTAAAATTTCATAACAGATAGATCATGACCCATTTATCACTTCAACTACCTTTCACTTTTGCTCTAACTGCTGTAGTTTTTGAGATATAAGCCAAAAACTGCTTTTGTCCACTATGTTCTATTTTTAACAATGGCGGCCATGTTTGTAGATCAAAACTTCAGATACAATTTTTAAACTAGATACCCTAAGGAACATTCAGTTAGAGTTTGGAAGTATATTTGGCCCAGTAGTTTCAGAGAAGAAGATTTTTGATAAATAGACTTGCACGAAAAAATGTAAAAAATAAACGTTTCAAGGGCAATAACTCCTTCAGGAGACAAATTGACTATTTTGATCATTAGACTTATTTGTAGATCCTACGTATACTTAGCTGAACATTTTTGCCATTTACACTTTCACTCTATCTATTATAATATTAAAGATCATAACCAAAAACAGTAAAATTTCATAAAAATGAACTATTTCGGACAGCAACCCTACAATGGGTGGTCCAATTGATCTGAAAATTTCATAGCAGATAGATCTTGACTTATTCATCAAATTAACTCCTGTCACTTTTGCTCTAACTGCTATAGTTTTTGAGATAAAAGCCAACAAGAGTGCACACGCTGAAATGTCTCGCCTACTATACTGACCATTGATTTTATGTTGATAGTCCTACATATAAAGTTTTACTGCAAGTATCACATTAACATTTATGATCCAAGAAAATGAGGTCAAGGTCAGATGAACCAAGCCAGAAATACATGTACACCTTTAATACAATCGTTCCATACACAGAATATAGATGACCTATTGCTTATAGTATACAAGAAACAGACCAAACCATGGAAATTCTATACTGACCAATGAACCATGAAAATGAGGTCAAGGTCAGATGAACCCTGCCAGACAGACATGTACACCTTAAAATCATTCCATGCATCAAATATAGTTGACCTATTGCTTAAAGTATCTAAGAAACAAAGTTAACCAGGAAAACTGAACATTGACCAATCAACCATGAAAATGAGGTGAAGGTCAGATGATACCTGCCAGACAGACATATACACCTTACAATCATTCCATACACCAAAAATAGTTGACCTATTGGTTAAAGTTTAAGAAAAACAGACCAAAACACAAAAACTTAACATAAGCAATGAACCATGAAAATGAGGTCAAGGTCAAATAAAACCTGCCAGACTGACATGTACATCGTAAAATACTTCCATACGCCAAATATAGTTGACCTTTTGCATACAGTATTAGAAAAACAGACCAAAACACAAAAACTAAACTAAGACCACTGAACCATGAAAATGAGGTCAAGGTCAGATAACACCTGCCAGTTGGACATGTACACCTTACAATCATTACATACACCAAATATAGTAGACCTATTGCTTATAGTATCTGAGATATGGACTTGACCACGAAAACTTAACCTTGTTCACTGATCCATGAAATGAGGTCGAGGTCAAGTGAAAACTGTCTGACAGGCATGAGGACCTTGCAAGGTACGCACATACCAAATATAGTTATCCTATTACTCATAATAAGAGAGAAATTAACATTACAAAAAAATCTTAACTTTTTTTTCAAGTAGTCACTGAACCATGAAAATGAGGTCAAGGACAATGGACATATGACAGACGTAAACTTCATATCATAAGGCATCTATATACAATGTTTGAAGCATCCAGGTCTTCTACCTTCTGAAATATTAAGCTTTTAAGAAGTTAGTTAACGCCTCTGCCGCTGCCATTGGATCACTATCCCTATGTTGAGCTTTCTGCGACAAAAGTCGCAGGCTCCACAAAAACTGCATTTGACCCCTATGTTCTATTTTTAGCCATGGCGACCATGTTTGTTAATGGATCAAAACTTCGGATAAAATTAATAAACCAGTTACCCTAAGGAACATTCAGTTAAAGTTTAGAAGTATTAGGCCCAGTAGTTTCAGAGGAGAAGATTTTTAAATGTTAGCAAACATGATGAACAAATTGTGTAAAATTGTCTTTAAAGGGCAATAACTCCTTCAGGGGTCAATTGACAATTTTGGTCATATTAACTTTTTTGTAGATCTTACTTTGCTGAACATTTTTGCTGTTTACAGTTTATCTTTATCTTCAATAATATTCACGATAATAACCAAAAACTGCAAAATTTAGTGGTAATTTTAAGGAAATTTTGCAGTTTTTGGTTTTTATCTTGAATATTATTGAAGATAAAGATGGGTTGTTTGGATTGTCTGAAAATTGCAGGGCTGATAGATCTTGACCTATTAAACATTTTTACCCCTGTCAGATTTGCTCTAAATGCTTTAGTTTTTGAGATATAAGCCAAAAACTGCATTTGGCCCCTATGTTCTATTTTTAGCCATTGCGGCCATGTTTGTTGATGGATCAAAACTTTGGATACAATTTATGAACTAGATACCCTAAGGAACATTCAATTAAAGTTTGATGGTATTTGGCCCAGTCGTTTCAGAGGAGAAGATTTTTTAAATAGTTTACGACGACAACGACAACAACAGACGACGGCCGATGACAGACGTCAAGTGATGGCATAAGCTCATATGGGGCCCTTCGGGCCTGGTGAGCTAAAAATGACAAAAGTGATTATGGCCTAATTCTCCTAGTAAGTTTTTCACTCAAAATCAATATGCCTATTATTTGGGTTTAAAGTTTTATATATAAATCAATTGCATTTATAAGCTTCTGATTCATTAAAAAAAATATGTTCAAATCTGGATGATTTTCCAATAATCCTGACTGCCTAGATAGTCTTGTGTTTGCATTGAGAAGGGTGTTATTCGGTTGATCCCCAGCAGAATCAAACCAAATACTTCACAAATGGTATTTGTTGCCATGTGTTCAGCAAGGCAATTCAAGGAGAAGGAGAAAAGACTGGTCAGCTCATAGTCAGAATAACAGTTTCAAGTATGGTGACATGTCTTCCTGCAGAAAGTATCTATATTAGCTAGCATGTTTAAAAAAATCTGACTAAGTAGGTGCGTTTTGCACAAATAAGGTGAAATCTATGCAACATGTTATCATTTTGATTATATATGTATCATCATTTTTCTGTGAAATCATAACTCTTTTTGTTGAAAATCATGCGCTGCTAGGAAGTTTCAATGGACATGAATGGTCTTTGTGAAGGTTAAACTTATTCTTGAATAACTTACATCTTCTAATTTAGGTTTCATGTTTAGTTTCCTCTTCCTCTTTCTACTGCCTTCTGTTGGATAGGACATTCTTAATAAAGAAACCTGTCATAAAAAAAAAATGATGATGACATTTTATACTTTTTTGCTATTCTCCACATTTTATGTAATCCATCAGTATGACTTGTGCGCAATAATATGATCATTCATAATCTGGTTTACCCTTTTGTTAGATATAATTAAGAAAAAAAACCAAATATTTCTTCTACAGCAGTTGTTGGTTATGTCAATGAATTGTTACTAGGTAGAAAATGCTTTTTTTTTCTGATTTAACTAAAGTATCCCCTGTTTTGTTTGAAAATAGTTGTTTTGGGATATATAGATCAAAAAATATTTTGAAGAAAATTTCATGTAAAATTCTTGAGATAGATGTTTTTCCCCTCTAAAAAACTGAAACATCATATTTCATTAAATTTCATCCACCAAAAAAAGAAACTGATGACTACTGGAATAACTATTTTATCTTATAATATGCATACAAAAGACTGATATGTTATCGAAATTTTTCATTGAAAATGCATAATAATTTTTGGAAAATAATTTTATCAAAATTTCTGTTCAAACTATTCAAAAACATTAAACACATATACCTTGAACTCAAGTGGGAGACAACTATTTTCACAAAATGTTTAATATTTACTATAACAGAAAATTGTATATCCCTTCTTTTCATTAATATAAACATAAGTATACAAAACGTTACCAATACCTGTTTCTTTACTTGTTGTAGTTGAACATTTCCTTCACTAAGTCCATAAACTTTCAATGCCTGTTAAAAGAAAGGACAACCAAATTCCAGTTGGTATCGATTGGCTAACATTTGTCTTATTGTAAATGCATTTCACATTATAATGGTTGGTTTTTTATCAGAATTTTATGGTGGGCAGATGCGGCCATTTCACCTTTTCGCGTTTTCTCCTTTCACTTTCACGCGAAATCGAGAAATCGAGGAAATCAGGAAATCGAGAAATAGAGAAATAGAGAAATCAGGAAATCGAGAAATCAAGAAATCAAGAAAGTGAAAAAGAGAAGACGTGAAAGCGAAAATGGGAAATAGATTTCTCGATTTCCCGATTTCTGGATTTCTCAATTTCCAGATTTCTCGATTTCTCGATTTCCCGATTTCTCGATTTCCCGATTTCTCGATTTCGCTTTCTCGCTTATTCGATTTCCAGATTTCACGATTTCTCGATTTTGTGTTTGCAAAGTGAAAGGAGAAAACGCAATAACGCGAAAAGGCGAAATGGCCGCATCCGGCCACCATAGAATTTGGTAATTATTTAATATTTTGATTAGGATAGAATAACAGCACTTATGGAGAATCCAAAATCCATAGAAAGTCACCAGACCTTTTGGGCCAACTGACAAAGACACATGATGACTGGCAATAATTGATAATGAGACATGCCAATATATAAACAACAGACATTAAAGTATTGGCAAAATATCACTCAGCATAGCATAAAAGTGAGCATCCAACTGTACATCTAGTTAATTTGGTTGGCCAAAAAAAAATATTTGCAAATTTAAAGACAAAACAAAGAATTGAATACATCATCATACAGATGTACAACTTCAAACATCTAATTTTTTTTGAAGAAGCATATTAGAACTCCACTAAAAATATAAATCTAAATTTCTTCACAAATCAAATAATATTAGATTTTGCCATGGAAGCTAACTATTACAAAATTAGTTTCTTAAGGGTGATATCAACTGGATGTTACTGCAAACCAACCACATTATCTTCTATTTTGTTAAGGAGCAAGAAAACAAGATCAGGTGCTTCCATATATAAGAAATAAATAATACAGGTTATATACCTCTGGCATACCAGGTTTATCTAACCAGTCTGCCAATACCTTCTCTTCTGTTAAACCATTATCTCTGAAATAAATAGACAAAAAAACCTGAAGAAGTACCGAGACTACAAGTATATTTAAAGTGCAACAAAAACTTTTTGAAAAGCTATGAAATTGTCCCTCTTTTTCAAAAATGTCTTGGTTATCAATGTCATTTAGCTGATGTCTAGTTGAGGAATAATAACCCCCCTCCCCTTTAACCCCCCAATATGAAACTAAGGAGATGTGGTATGGTTGCCAATGAGACAACTATCCACCAAAATTCAAATTAATCACTGTTTGATTTAGTAATTTGTATCTTCCAGTGGTACTTTTTGGCCTGAAATGTGCCACTCATTAATAAACACAATCTAAGCTAAACTAATAGATGAATAGATACTTGTGAAAACCTGTTTATACTCACCTTAATTCTGGCAGAACATTAAAAATGAATGAGATCACATCCTGTAAAATATCATTAGTTGTGTAAGTGCTTAATTCAATATATCATGCAAAGAACAAGTACTCTTTTATCATAGGATTATTTAGAATTATGCTGTTCTATAGTAAAAAATTAAATACCAATAAGCTTTATTTTTCATTTATAAAATAACAACTTTTAAACACTAAATATGTATTAAATTCATGGAAAACTAAAAATATTTAAGCACATCATAGAAAATATTCACTTCTTTCTCTTCCCATATTTACATGTACAACCCAGCTACAAGAGTTATTGTTCTTTGGTGGGTTTTTTTCTGGCCTGCCTTGAATACAGCGTTTATGATTTATATAATATAGAAATATTTAAAGGTACAACATGATTGTTTCACTGTATTATCAAATCATAGTGAAAATCTGTGTAAATGGAATGCCATGTTGCCCATTAAGTGCCCCTACTTGGAATAATGAATATTCCTCCTTTTCTCTTATTAAATATCTGAAATAGTCCCAATCATGTTTCACTATTGGTCTTAAAACCTGGCAATACATTTTTTGTTTGCCTATATTTTGGCATTGCACAAGGTTAAGCTTTTAATGTCCTTAAATTAAATCCATTGGAGGTGTACTGATTGATAATTTGGCTGGAAGAAATTGGTCTATTTATTAGTTAAAATTGGTCTGTAAACTAGCTTTCAATAACTGCCAAGTACTCGTAGATCACCACTTTTAAGTCTTTTGTATTTGTCTTTTGTTTTTGTGGTAAGTACCAATCTGACCAACCTGTCAAGCCCTTTCTAACTGATCTTTACAGTTTGTTCTTATGTCATTTTGTTATACCAATGTCTTTGGTCAGGGGAGGGCTGAGTGCTCACAAAAATGTTTAAAATGTTTTTGTCTTTAATGGACTAAAATACATACGCTGAAAATGTTTTTGAATTTGTTAAGTTTTATCATTTCCTAAGTGCTCCTAGCACTAGTTATCACACAGTTATATATATAAGTACCTGACAGGACAGTTGTCATCAAACGCATATACTTATCTAGATTCACTCCAATTATATTTGAATAGCACCAGCCATCCAATGTTCTACATCATTAATTGTAAATGTGTTCACATTTTTAAATGTATGCATGAACATAAAGAGAAAAAAAATATGCATTGACGTTTTGGTATTAAAGCAAACATGTAGAATAAATTGCTTAGCCGACCGCAGCTGGACAGACTGGGTCCAACCCTGAACAGTTGGGGAAAAAATGGACACAAAAAAAATTCTTTCCCTCAAGATATGGTCATAATCTTAGTTAAAATTTCCAATGGAGTTTGCAACCATAATGACCCATTTAAATACATCATAAAAGTCTTAAAATAGAAAATGACATACATAATCATGGCTAAAATTAATATTCCTTAATAGTAACTTCTAATAATAAATTGACAGCTAATCATCTCAAGACAATACAACATTTCTTTATACATAATTTAAAAGCAGTGTAAGGGAGGTAATCAAAACGTTGTGTTTGGATTACCACCCTTACACTGCTTTTAAATTGTCTTAAGTAATTGTCCATTAACCAGGAAACCCGTTTTTTCCCCTTTTTTGCCCCTAATTCCTAAATAGTTTGAGCCATAACCCCCCAAAGCAAATCCTAACCATTCCTTTGTGGTATGGAAACTTGTGGTATAATTTCAGAGAGATCCATACACCGTTCCACAAGTAATTATCTGGAAACTAGAAAAATGCTTATTTGGGCCCCTTTTTGGCCCCTAATTCCTAAATTATTTGGACCATAACCCCCAAAATCAATCCCAACCTTCCTTTTGTGGTTATAAACCTTGTGTTTAAATTTCATAGATTTCTATTTAATTATACTAAAGTTATTGTCTGGAAACCAACTGTCTTCGGACAATGCTGACAACACTGACGACGACGTGATACCAATATACGACTGCAAAATTTTTGCGGTCGTATAAAAATAATTGGTCCATGGGTTTTTAATTTATGATTTCTGACTTTAAAGGAAACAAATCAACAGAAAAAGTTCATTTTATTGGATGTTAAAATTGAGGATTAGATTAACCATAGCAGATTTAAAAGGGACTTGCATTGGAGGATAATGGATGGGATGACATGCTTGGTCTGAATATCATCTACAAGGAAGATGAAAATGTGCCAAAGTACAAAAATCCAGAAATACAAGTTATTTCTCTACATATCATAAATTAATTAACCTGAACTTCTGGAAATTTGTTTTCTCCTAACTTTGATGATACAAGTTCTTTATAAAAGGTGATGATGTAGAAATGTAACATTCTTAGAAACTTGTCTAGTCCAACAAAAGATTCTCTCTTACCTTTGATGATACAAGTTCTTTATAAAAGGTGATGACGTAGAAATGTAACATTCTTAGAAACTTGTCTAGTCCAACAAAGGACTCTCTCTTACCTTTGATGATACAAGTTCTTTATAAAAGGTGATGACGTAGAAATGTAACATTCTTAGAAACTTGTCTAGTCCAACAAAGGACTCTCTCTTACCTTTGATGATACAAGTTCTTTATAAAAGGTGATGACGTAGAAATGTAACATTCTTAGAAACTTGTCTAGTCCAACAAAGGACTCTCTCTTACCTTTGATGATACAAGTTCTTTATAAAAGGTGATGACGTAGAAATGTAACATTCTTAGAAACTTGTCTAGTCCAACAAAGGATTCTCTCTTACCTTTGATGATACAAGTTCCTTATAAAAGGTGATGATGTAGAAATGTAACATTCTTAGAAACTTGTCTAGTCCAACAAAGGATTCTCTCTTACCTTTGATAATACAAGTTCTTTATAAAAGGTGATGACGTAGAAATGTAACATTCTTAGAAACTTGTCTAGTCCAACAAAGGATTCTCTCTTACCTTTGATGATACAAGTTCTTTATAAAAGGTAATGACGTAAGAATGTAACATTCTTAGAAACTTGTCTAGTCCAACAAAGGATTCTCTCTTACCTTTGATGATACAAGTTCTTTATAAAAGGTGATGATGTAGGAATGTAACATTCTTAGAAACTTGTCTATTCCAACAAAGGATTCTCTCTTACCTTTGATGATACAAGTTCTTTATAAAAGGTGATGATGTAGAAATGTAACATTCTTAGAAACTTGTCTATTCCAACAAAGGATTCTCTCTTACCTTTGATGATACAAGTTCTTTATAAAAGGTGATGATGTAGAAATGTAACATTCTTAGAAACTTGTCTAGTCCAACAAAGGATTCTCTCTTACCTTTGATGACACAAGTTCTTTATAAAAGGTGATGACGTAGGAATGTAACATTCTTAGAAACTTGTCTAGTCCAACAAAGGATTCTCTCTTACCTTTGATGATACAAGTTCTTTATAAAAGGTGATGACATAGGAATGTAACATTCTTAGAAACTTGTCTAGTCCAACAAAGGATTCTCTCTTACCTTTGATGATACAAGTTCTTTATAAAAGGTGATGATGTAGAAATGTAACATTCTTAGAAACTTATCTAGTCCAACAAAGGATTCTCTCTTACCTTTGATGATACAAGTTCTTTATAAAAGGTGATGATGTAGAAATGTAACATTCTTAGAAACTTATCTAGTCCAACAAAGGATTCTCTCTTACCTTTGATGACACAAGTTCTTTATAAAAGGTGATGACGTAAGAATGTAACATTCTTAGAAACTTGTCTAGTTCAACAAAGGATTCTCTCTTACCTTTGATGACACAAGTTCTTTATAAAAGGTGATGACGTAAGAATGTAACATTCTTAGAAACTTGTCTATTCCAACAAAGGATTCTCTCTTACCTTTGATGATACAAGTTCTTTATAAAAGGTGATGACGTAAGAATGTAACATTCTTAGAAACTTGTCTAGTCCAACAAAGGATTCTCTCTTACCTTTGATGATACAAGTTCTTTATAAAAGGTGATGACGTAAGAATGTAACAATCTTAGAAACTTGTCTAGTCCAACAAAGGATTCTCTCTTACCTTTGATAATACAAGTTCTTTATAAAAGGTGATGACATAGAAATGTAACACTCTTAGAAACTTGTCTAGTCCAACAAAGGATTCTCTCTTACCTTTGAAGATACAAGTTCTTTATAAAAGGTGATGACATAGAAATGTAACACTCTTAGAAACTTGTCTAGTCCAACAAAGGATTCTCTCTTACCTTTGAAGATACAAGTTCTTTATAAAAGGTGATGACATAGAAATGTAACACTCTTAGAAACTTGTCTAGTCCAACAAAGGATTCTCTCTTACCTTTGAAGATAGAAGTTCTTTATAAAAGGTGATGATGTAGAAATGTAACATTCTTAGAAACTTGTCTAGTCCAACAAAGGATTCTCTCTTACCTTTGATGATACAAGTTCTTTATAAAAGGTGATGATGTAGAAATGTAACATTCTTAGAAACTTGTCTAGTCCAACAAAGGATTCTCTCTTACCTTTGAAGATACAAGTTCTTTATAAAAGGTGATGACGTAGGAATGTAACACTCTTAGAAACTTGTCTAGTCCAACAAAGGATTCTCTCTTACCTTTGATAATACAAGTTCTTTATAAAAGGTGATGACATAGGAATGTAACATTCTTAGAAACTTGTCTAGTCCAACAAAGGATTCTCTCTTACCTTTGATGATACAAGTTCTTTATAAAAGGTGATGATGTAGAAATGTAACATTCGTAGAAACTTGTCTATTCCAACAAAGGATTCTCTCTTACCTTTGATGATACAAGTTCTTTATAAAAGGTGATGATGTAGAAATGTAACATTCTTAGAAACTTGTCTAGTTCAACAAAGGATTCTCTCTTACCTTTGATGATACAAGTTCTTTATAAAAGGTGATGACGTAGGAATGTAACACTCTTAGAAACTTGTCTAGTCCAACAAAGGATTCTCTCTTACCTTTGATGATACAAGTTCTTTATAAAAGGTGATGACGTAGGAATGTAACACCCTTAGAAACTTGTCTAGTCCAACAAAGGATTCTCTCTTACC